GTTTTCGAATATTACGTAATACTTCTAAGAATTCTTCTCATTCGACGCACAACACTTGTTCGTCGAACTTTGTTGCATTCTTTTATAAAATATGTACGCAGAAGACAACAAGAGGCCGTCGTCAATTTGTATTTTTATTCGTCGTCGAATCGAGATAAAGAAAAATTAATTGAGCATGAAATGCGGGTAATTTTTTTGACAAATCGTTTCTTCATTTTCATTCTTCAACTATGAACGTTCGAATGACCAATGATGATCGAAAGGAAGGAAGAAAAATAAAAGTTAAGAATACCTAATTAATTGCGTGTGTACGTTTCTTACGATAACATCGACAAAAGTACGATAGAAGTGGATCATCGTTTATTTATTCTTTCTCCTAATCCTCGTGATTGGAACAATCGAAATTCTATTTCTCGTTTTTTCGTCTTTACTCGATAAAATTCATACACGCGTTAACATATATATTTGTATATGTATATGAATATGTTCGAACGTTCATAGCGATTCTTCGAATATTGCTCAAGGAATATTGGTTCCATCCTATATATAAACTATATATATATAGCACGTAGTATTTTTTTGTTTTTTTTTAGAAAATTTAATTTCTTAAGCTTAATGCTAAGATCTTAACTTCCTGCCTGCAGAAATTACAGCAATACGCTGTTTGTGATCGCCATGGCTCATCGAGATCCGTGAAAATTACTTCTCCATTACGAATGAGAGAAACGGATAAAGAATTTTAACCGAGTGAATTAATCATTCTATTTTCTTCTTCTTTTTTTCATTCATTTTTATTTCCTTTATCTTCTTTCCTTTCTTTTTTCGTATTTTAAAATTGTCGTTCTCCTAATTTCCCTTTTTTTTCTGTTTAGTTAATAAATCGCATCGTGTCGATAAACGGATAGATATGTGGATAATAGATATGTGCTCTGCCAAAGAGAGGTTAATCAAATACAGAATTTAAAAACGGTACGGTCTTTATACGCGTCAAGTTTCAAGTAAATATATATTGTATTGTAAACTTATTGCTATAAATTTACGTGTAATATTAAAATTGAATAGTTTCGAACGGATAATCAATACATGATTTCAAGTACAAGTATAAAAGTGAAAAATCAGTTATCGCGTAGAAACATGATCGGTTATGGTATACAAAGTATAAAGTCGGTCAGTTGGTCGATTGTTCGATCGGTCGATCGGTCTGTCGGTCGATCGGTCGGTCGGTTAGTCGGTCGGTCGGTCGGTCGATTCAATGGATTTCAAATATTTCCAGTGATCGCGATGAACCATAGTGAATTTATTTTTATTTTTAGTGAAAAACATTGGCGCGACGCAACGTCGTATGAGGAAATTGAACGATTCGTATATAACCGTATATGGTCCTAGTATCTTTCTAATCCAGCTTCGAAGCTGATTTTCGTCGAATACACAGTTTAAACCGATACATCAAACGCGCAGATCTTGAATGTTCGGTGTTCGATTTATTCTCTAGAATTTCGAATAAATCACCCAACACGAATTGGCGAAATGGACGTTAATTGAATTTAACGTTTGAAACCGGATAAAATCACGTTGTCGCAAACTGGATTCGTTGCATTCGTCGCTTCTACGATTTTTTTCGACGTTTCTTTTATTCGTGGAATACTCCGTTTACGAATCCAATTCCCACGTGGAGGAACGGTGGTAGGAAAGGTATGATAAAGCGCGAACCGAGTTTGCTTTTGTCGTCGCGAAACTTTATTTATTTCGAATAACCGAATAAAAATCGAAACGTCGAAGGAAGAGCCGCCTAGCTCTAAAGATAGAAGCGGAAGCATATTTTTTTTTTTTTTATTTTTTTTCTTTTTTTTTTACT